AAACTTTTTAATATAATATTACTAAAAAAGATATTGGAATTCTAACTTACATGAACTGTTTGCATCTGCAGTAAATCCGCAAGTGCTTTTTGCCTCGACTGTTATTGTGAAAAAAGAACCAAAGTATTATTATATATCAGACACGTAAATTTACACAATATAGAAAATTACAATTATGCCCTTGTATACCGATTGGTTAGTAGCCCAACGTTCATAATAGTGAGTGTATCTCTCTAAAGAATTCTTTGCCATTTCTCTTCTGCGTTCAGATTCATCATACTGCAAATGAAAGTGGAATTACAAGATTAAAGATTTAGACTTTAAAAGAATGAATAATGGTAATGTTTTATTGAATTAAAGTAAAATGTGACTAGTTTTATTACAGCTCCTTCTTGCTTTGCAGATTCATAACGGTTGCAAGCATAAAATCCACCAGTTCTCTCTCCATGATCTGACCATTGACCAAGGCAAAGCCTACATTTACAATTTTATAAAGTTAAATTTATAAAGCATAAACTTAATTTCATTTAAGTTTCTAAATGTACATAACAAACATGATAATGGAATACAATAACTCATTAGTCATTCCATTCCCCTTTGTGATTCCATTCCATATACCAAACAAAAAAAAACATAAATCTTACCAGCAAAACTCGTATTTGCATGGAGGGTTGCATGTCATGTGCATACAACCTTGATTCTTCTCAATTGGACGTTTGCACTTTGGACAAGGCTTAGAATTTGCTAGAATCCTGAAAAATCATTATATAAACATCAAAACAAGAAAGATAACAAGGGTGAAGGGGCAGTTTAGACATTTACCAATTCATATTTTCAGACTCTGCACTGTTTTTCATAATCCACTTGGACACAGTTTCACAGTCCACAGGGCGATGAGCTTCTTCTGTACACTACCACAATAGCAATAAAAAGATTTTATCTTTTATAAAGAAAAAACATAAACTTTTATAAAAATGAATGAAGTTATTGAATCATGATACTCACATTCCAACAAAAGCTGTATGAGCAATAGCAAGTTACATCATAGCTTCCACTTCCAAGATCAAACTCAATAGCACAATCACATCCAGGAGCAGGGCACCACTTTGTCTATCATATCAAATTTCAAATTATCAATAATAAAAGTATAATCAAAATCTTGATTATGAAATCATTAAGATAAATTACAATTTACATACCTTTCTATTGTCCTCAATATAAGATCTAAGAAGGTAACGACGATATTTCTTCTTGTCTTCATCTGAAGTCAACATATTGACCATGTCCACACCAACAGCAGCACCACAAGATGGAATTGGGCATCTCAAAGTCAAACATCCAGGACCATCATTGATAGATGTGCTAATGTAAGCTACCAGATTCAATAAAAACATTAAAAGAAACAGAAATCAGGATCCCAATTATAAACATATAAATGTATAATGAGATGAAAACAGAGAGCATTGCATTATCAATACAAACCTGCCCAACATGTGTTACAGAAAGGATGACCACAAGCAGCAGTACTAACACTATCAAGTGTATATGATTCAAAGCAGATCCCACAAGGTAGCTTCAAAAGATACAAAGATAAGGACTAAAAACTTCACTAAACATTAACTTATTTACCATTTTACTCTAACTTACCTCTCCAGCTTTTGGTGGATTGATATTGGTATTATCCAACATGCCAACAGCTTTACGAACAGCATCTTCATTGGCAAACCATGCTTCATGAACATTGCTAACATTCCTGCAGGGTTAGATAGTAACTTATTAAATAGAAGAAATTCAAAATCTTGATACAGAAGAATTTGTTATTAGGAAAAATTAATCACTTTACCAGTTAAAACGGCGCAAAAGCATGCATGCAGAATCTCTTGAGATTGATAGAACTGAAGAGATTCTAGTGATATCTTCCTCCTGGCGTTGGCGTATGTCATCTTCCTTCAAGATAGTGTAATTCTTCTGAAATACAGAAGAAGAAATGATAAAGCTTGGATGGAGGCAAGAGCGAACAGATAGAAAACAATATATGTCGACAATTTTTTGTCATTGAAGTTAACCAAAACAATATTAGAACAGAAAACAGAGAAATCGACACCAGTCAACAATGTCCTAGAACCAACTCATCATCGAATCATTAGCTAATAAAACCACCGAAGCCTTGTTATATGATGAACTTGGAATGATTGAAACAGAAGAGGGTAGTGATGAATAAAAGAAAATCCCCAAATTTAATAGTAAAAATGCATCCAATCGGACGAATAAACAGTATGAGAGTAGAAATATATATTCGGTAAAATTCGATTACCTGTTGCCGACTAACTGATACATCATCGGAATCATCAGAAGCGTTATCCAAAAACTCATACCCAGCATCATCATCATCATCGCTGTACATCGCATCGCCGCTATAGTAATCTTCTTCATAAGAATCAATATCGTTCGCATCGTGCATATCATCTTCCGAATCCATCGCGAGAAAAACCCTAGAAATTTTTACAACGGGGAGTGCAAACCTAGGGTTTTAGCGGTGTGATTATCAGAAAGATGATTATACAAGTCCAACAGACAGGAATACGAGAAGAAACGGTGATCGATGAGTGGTATATTTTGGGGAAAACTGAAGATGAATTGTGCGATTTCGTGGGAAGGGTTTTAATTTATTGGATCATTTCGTTGGTCTACGCAAAGTCGCAAAACAAACAACAACAAAGAAGCCGCTTAACAGGTTTATCGATTCTTGATTTCCCTTCGATTGTCGCGATCGCAGCCCCAAATCTCACAATCAATGTTTAATCGGATCAACCGGATTGGGAGATAGATTCAAGAATTCGCCCTAGCAATTCTTTGTTCGACCATATTAGGGTAGGCGTGTGGTATAGAATAAACCATGTCAATCTTGTATTCGTATAAGTGTATTTATTCATTAGTCAAAGTGTCAAACATGTATTTTTTTTTTTTTTTTTTTTTTTGTAAATACTTTGGTACAACAGTACAACACAAGCAATATGTGAAAATATGGAAATAAATCATTAGCATTCATAAGTTTATCACCACCTTTAATACACACTAGGAAATAGGCTAATTTGTCTATTTGATCGTGTGTGAAGAATTTATTCATTAGTCAAAGTGTCAAACATTTTTTTTTTGTATATACTTTGGTACAAGACAAGCAATATGTGAAAATATGAAAATAAATCATTAGCATTCATAAGTTTATCACCTTTAATATATAGTAGGAAATAGACTAATTTGTCTATATTTGATCGTGTTGTGTGAAGATTGTTATAGGATGTAATAAATATGGTATTTTTTTATCACATATGTTTGATAGGTCATCGTTTATATACATATTAATATGACACTTTAGAACACAAATATACATTTAAGTACATTGATGTATGCGTTATTTGTGATATTTACTCATGTATGTTATTTATGAATTTTCTATATTCGGATGTAAAATGTATACGTATTTTGTTCTTTTTAATTGACATAAATCGCCTCATTGTCTCATGTCCATGGGATCTTTATAGGTGTAAAAGTAGCAAATCATTATGTGTAGTTGAGATGGGTATTCTTCGTTTCCTTCCCATCTTCAGCTTCTTTTTAGACACATTATATAGAATACCAATGTATTTTATTTTTGTTTTCAATTCTTGGATTTCTGTCCGGTAATAACATTTATGAATATGGAAGCAGAAGAAAAAATTGAGTGGGGCTGAATAATTGTCAATGGATTAACCATGAGAACATTTAAGCTAATGATCAACCATAAGAAGTCGTTTTTCGAATTACTTACAAAGAGATATACTCCATCTAATATAGGGTTTAATATTTATAAAAGTGGGAGCCAAAGAAGCCTCCTTCAGACCATATCACATATATGTGTAAGATCTAAATGTCAGAGTTGAATGCTAGTTTAACAATCTAATCAACCTTGCGAGACGGAGCTGAGTGCTCAAGAAAATCCTCAAAAGACCCTTAATAAACTCTAAAATGTTGCATTTATATGTTCAAGAATCATTATTGAATGATATTGTTAATAACATATTAGGCTTTTGACATAAAAATCCTTTAGTTTCGTCATTTTTGTCGGTTTAGTCCCTTTAACGATTTTTGGTGCAATAATGCCTAACATTTTCAATATTTTTTTCATTTATGCCATTTAACCGGTTTCCCGGTCCTCAACAAGTCATTTTTGCCTTTTTCGGCTTAGCTGGCAGGCACGGACTAGCCACGTCAGCATCTTGTGTCTTAATTAAAAATTAGAATAAAAGTTCGGAAAATGCTAGCAGTGAGACTCGAACACTAGCTTCCTCTAAATCTTGGCAAGACGCGAACCATCAGGAAACATTGATTCTTGTTTTATTATGTCTAAAATTATATATATAAATATTAATACTGTAACGCCCGTAGATCCGGGCTAGTCAATTTAGAGACGATGAGCATCAAAAATGAGTTTTTGATGGA